GATGCGAACACACCGTCATTGACTATGAGACTAAGTCAAACATCCAACACACACTAGTCTCACATGCATTAACGATATCCCACTCTCGTTAATACTCGACTATGGACATTTAGATAAATATTTATTTCAAGATGTTAGTCTCATCAGCAGAAGAACACTATCTGATAAACATCTTTTAAATATAAATCTAGGAATATAACATTTGTTTACATTAGCATGAGATGTGTAAACATATTATATCTGCCTATAACATGATAGAATAACGATAAACAGTTGGCCATCAGGGCACTACTCCAACACGAATTCCTCTCCCCGTCCGTCACCCATTTCGCATGGGCTTTCTGCCGCCAAAACTCATCCTCGATACGATACTGGCGCTTCAAAAGTGCAGAGCGCCGCTTGAACTAGATATAGGTCTCATCTGATGAATCTGTCTGCAGCTGTAGCTCAATATCCCAAACATCCTGCTCAAGCACCTTAAGCCTATCAAAGATGTGACCGAAGGTGTCTCGGTTCCATCTCTTCAAGCTATGTTCCAGACGCTTGAGCTTTGCACCAAATACGAACATGGGACTGCCAGTAATGTCCTCACGCCAAGAATCAGCCACCACTCTCTGAAAATCCTCGTGCTCTGTCCAGACATTAAGGAAAGTGAAAGGCCGTGCAGGAGGACGTTCATGAGACTTACACTCCACCAACAGAGGAGCATGATCAGATCCAACTCTATCCAAGTGATGCACCAAACAAGAGAACATATCCATCCACGGCTGGTTAAATAGCAATCGGTCAATCCGGCTCCGAACCTCCACGCCGCCCACTCGGTTGTTGAACCAGGTATAATCCTCCCCAATAAAAGGAGAATCAACCAGTTCACAATCCTCCACACATTCAACAAAAGGCTGATATTTGACTGGAGCATACGGCCGACCTCCTTTCTTCTCCGAGGGATCGAGCAGACAGTTGAAATCACCCACCACCCCCCATGCCATGTCAGCCGGGAGAGCGGCGTGTGTCTCTCGAAGATATTCCCACAATGGCTCCCTGTCCCTGTACTTACATTTTGCATAAACCACTGACAACCAAAGAGGGTTAGGAAAAGAAGGGTGAGAGAAAGAAAAGGTTAGTGACTGTGCAAAATAAGAAATAAAATGAATGGACGGCGCAATGTCAAAGTTCCAAAAGAGCCAGATTTGGTCATCTGCACCACACCTAGCTCCCGTGAAACCCAACAGTGTCCTATAATAGTCAATCTGCGAGGATGCCTTCATAGGCTCCAAAATACCTAACAACACTGGGGTGTGCTGCTTAAGTAAAATTCGAAGCTTAGAAAGGACATCCTGTGAGGTGATGCTCCTCACGTTCCAAACAAGGAACCGCATCATCATTGAGAACGAGAAGAAGTGGAACGGGTGACTCTGCGTGGAGCAGGAGGCACCCCCGTCTTGTGCTCTGTTGCCTTTCGAGCGTTTTTAGCCGACTTACCCCTTGTGGTCGGAGCCTCCCTTGCAGGAGAGACACCACTCGCTGCAAGATCCCGGGCAATGTCAGTCGGATCCTCAAAATGATCACCCATGGACCCGTCACTAGTCTGCGAACTACAATCGTCATCCTCCTTCCTTACCGAATCGGAAGGAATGGAGGATGCAGCAGTATTAAAGTCGCAGACCTCATGACTGTCCCAGGCATCACCCCCAAAGCATCAAAAGTATTAGACATAGCCAGAGCCAGCTCGGGGGGTTGAGGATCGGGAACATGTACAATAAAAGAAGAAGAAGAAGTAGAGAGAGGAAGAGAAGCAACAACGGGACCTTGCTCAACTCCGGTAGGAGGAACAGATGGCTCTAAAGCCTGAGACGCCGACTGTTCAACCACAACCGATGTGGGAGGAGTGGCGTTAACAACAGTAGAAGGAACTAAGCAAGCATCAGGTATGACAACATTCGGGGAGGGATGGGAAGAAGTGGGCACAAAGGCTTGCAATGAGGGTCCCTCCCCCTTACCTACCTCATCAGTGTCCACGACCTCAATAGGTCTGGACCCTTTCGCTGTCTTCTCTCGCCAAACATACTGTGACTCCTCTCGTTGGGAGCCACCTGCGCTTGTACCTGCATCAAGAATGGCAATACCTTTCCCCTCCCTTTGACGCCTGACCCTACTCCTACTTCGCCTCCGTCGAGGAGGTTGGGTATTCGTAGGCGCAGTCGTGGAAGGTTGGGGAACCACAACAACTGCTCGCTGATCAGGCTGAGTAGGAGTCAAAGTATTGCACGAAGAATTGTCGTGACCCTGCTTGTAACACGCCGTGCAATACTTTGGGATGCGCTCATATTCCACAGAATGGAACATGCCCACATCCTCCTCGCCAGGCTCATCAGAAAAACCAATCCAAATCTGTTCTATCCTAGGCTTCAATAGATAAATCTCCACCCTAGCCTTAGCCACATTGGGACGTGAAAAGGTGGACGTAGCAACATCTACTTTCAAACACCTCCGAATGGGCTTACAAAGCTGGTGGATAGCACTCTCATTGAATAAATCAGCCCTCAAATTAGGAAAAGTCACCCATACTGGCGCAACGGAGGATTCAGTTTTAACATTAAATTCCGGGGACCACCGAAACAGTCTCATGGGAAATTGTCCGTTAAACTGAATCTGCCCTTGCATGAATATATCATTACAATCTAGAGGATGGGTGAATAAAATCATAACATGACGTGGGTCGCGAAGACTAATCTGAACCGACTCCCGGAGAAGAAATTTTTCAGCAAAAAACTTCCTCAATGTGGCAATCTCAGGACGACCATGTGAAAATTTACCAATAAGAAGAAAATTATCCAATTGAGAAAGTTTTTGCATTTCAGACCTCTTAAAGACAACTCCGGGAGTACCCCTATGAAAAGTGGGGGTTTTGTCCTCAACAACAACATTAGGTAATATAGCAGACGGGCGGGAAGCAATGGCCCGTAAAGAGATACCTGGATTGGATGAACCAGAAACTGCTTGTGCGAAAGATTTTGAGGGGCCAGGTGTGGAGGGACCAGCTACTGCCTGTGCAAAAGAAGGCTTTGGCATGCCTTGTGGACCTCCCTGCCATGGAGCTGTCACTGCCGTGACATTCTTAGAAATGATGGCAGCCATTTTCGGTGTGGGGGCACTTTGTCTTTCCATTGTTGAAGCATTATGAGGAGCAAAAGTGACTCCTTTTTCTCCCCCTGGCCGTACATGAGAAGAGGCCCCGTGCATGATGTTGGGAGTGGAAGTTGGCGCAGGAGCTACTGTCATGCCTTCATGCAAGGGACCAGGGCCTAAAATGCTGGGATTCTCTTTTGGAACTTGGACAGAAACCTCATTAATAGGAGAGGTACCAACTTGAACAGCCTGTTGTGCAGCTTTCCCTACATGTGCATGAGATGTGTCCGTACCAATTTCCCCACTATGTACATTAGAAAGGCTTTGGGCTGCACCATCCAAAGAGGTACCAACCAAAGACTGAGCTAACCGTGCTTTCCTCTCATGTGGTAACTCCAAATTAAGGGGCTTAAAAAGAAAGGGATAATGACCTGTATAGCCTGAGGACGTGTGGGGAACCTGGAAATCAGCTACTGAAGGTTGTTCCTCACCATAAACATATCCATTTGACCTTGTGAGGGCAATGGGGACAGCCCCAGGTACTTCTTGACGCTGGAAAAGAGCAAAGGACGAAAAAGGAACATGTACCAACACATGGGAGTCATCCACTGTCCCTTTTAACTCCAGCCCAGGTACATTATTCATGTTAAACTGAGTAAATGCATGAACGGGAATCTTAACCTGCATAAAGTCCGTCTTCACAAGTGAAGAACCCATTGAGGCAATTGGTCGAACAGTTGGCGGGCAAGAAGAAAGCAAGGCAGTGGAGGCATTTGCATTAAAACCAACGTCCAATGGAGGTATTGCAGAGGTGGGAAAGCTTACGTGAGCCCCTAAATCATGAGGAACTAAAGCCACAAATGAAGAAGAAAGGGGTGTGACCTGGGCAGCCATAGCCGCTGTAGAAGACGACCCCAAAAATGGGGGGTTGATGTCAGAGCTTAAGGCAGCCATGGAGGGGCGCTGGGGATGCGTCATGACGTGTGGAACACTATGGGAGTGGTCCACGACGCTGCATATACTCTGAGACACCATAACAGGAGAGGACCCGGCATGGAGACCCGATGCTGAAGTTGCATGCGATAACCCAATTCCAGTGGCTGATGTGACTGCAAAAGGGTGCGTTGGAATCGCCTGGGTATGGGGAAGGACCTGAGATGTGTGAGAAGGACCACCATGGCCTGTAGTCACCGGAAAAAATGGTGTGGCAGCGGCAACCTGTGTGGCTGCGATCTGGAGGTTCCCGGCAGCTGTGATGGTCGTATTTGGTATCAAACTAACCGCCGAAACGTCAGGAGGTTGAAGGGGAGGATCCGGTGGCCTGTGGCCGGCCATATTGGCCGGGAAAGGAAGATCGCCGAAGGGGAGCGTGTGTCGCCAGTAAAGTGTTTTGTGGGTATTTAGGCTCCGGTTTTGCAAGATTCACATTCACTTGTCGAACTTTCTGGTTTGTCAGCGCTTCTTTTGCCATAAAATTTGTTTTCTTGTTTTAACCTTTCATTATCTTTTTCCAACTTTTCAAAATCATTTTCAAGGGTTGAAAGGCGTTTCTTTAATGATTTATTGGTTTTAGAAGCGCTAACAAATTCGTCATAAAGCTCATGAAGTGCTTCTTGCATTTCTTCAAAAGAATAAGAGTTGGAAGAAATGGTACATACCTCTTGAACGTCGTCGGTTTGATCTTCGTGCGCCATGAGACAGAGGTTGGCGGCTTCCTCCTCTTCGTGATCCGTTGACTCATCCCCGGAGTCGCCTCCCCAAGAGATGTAGGCGCGTTGCTTTTTGAAGCCAGGTTTGTCCTTGCCGCCTTTGCTTTTTGGACACCTTGGCTTGATGTAGCCTATCTCACCACAACCATAGCACTTCGGGGGCCCGTCGTGCTTTCTTCCTTTCCTTTCAAATTCTTTCTTCATGAA